CTTGGTGGGGATTGTGGGTGGGTGCTTTCTCCTGTCCCTTCTCTCCATTCGGATCCCATTAACCCCGCCGCCTGGCCTTTCCCAGCCTGTGCCTGGCTGGGAGGGATTTTAACAGGAGCTTCTCCAATATCCCCATGTCCCGGCCAGGGGCGGAGGGCTGGTCTTGGTGCCGTCCTGCCCAGCGCATCTGTTCCTCCAGCTGTCCCGTGCAGGCCGGGCTAAGCCTTCTCCCAGCCAGAAATCCCATCTCCAGAGCAGCTGGAGAAAGCCCTGAGCCTGGAGAGGACAGTGGGGATGGGCCCCTGCGAACATGGGACGAAGACCGTCAGGATCAAACGTGGCTGCGTCCTCGTGCCAGGCCCTCATGGATCCCAGCTTCGGCTTGCCAATCTCACTGCAAATCCGGGGCTTGGGCACCCCGTGCTCTAACCACTTGGCTACGCTCCCTTTTAGCTGCCCCAGACCAGCCTGTTTGCAAGACGAGGGGTAGCTACAGGAACCGGCGACCCGGGAGCTGCAGGCGGCCGCAGAAGCCACTTTTTGTGCTGCGACTAGGCCCCAGGGCCTGTCTTCCCCACACCAGGGGCAGGGGGTTGCAGCCAGCGCCTGGTGTGCAGCCAAGATGGGGGAGTTCAAAGGGATTCAGAGACGCAGGGCAGAGAAGTGGGAGCCAAGAACTCCTGGAGTGTAACCCCGGCTCTGACACTGCTCCCCGTGGCACCCTGACCAAGTCACTCTGCTGCGCCATGCCTCAGTTTCCCCAGAGCTAATAGTCCTGAGAACTTTGTGAGGATTCCCTAGTTAAAGGCTGAGCTACACTGCGGGGTCTTGGGAAGGTAGGAGAACCTAGCTGGTGCATGTCCGGCTTTCATCCGCTGAGGACGGGCGTGCAGCAGGTAAACGCAGCCAACCCGCCCTGCAGGGAGCGGTGTCACTGCCCCAGCCGCGTCACCAACAGCTGGGTCACGGCCGTGGCGAGTTTGAAAAATTAGAAGAAAAAAAAATTAGTTTTGGGTCAGAACAAAAGTGAAAGTTTTGGGCGATGTGAAAAGCGGAACAAAGGGCGGTTTCTCGGCAACCGAAACGTCCTGGGCCAACCAACCCCAGCCGCTTCCCTTTGACTGCGACCCTTTTGGAACGTCGGCCCTGTTCGAAATAACGACCTCCACGGAGACTTGGAAAGGAGAAGTCGTTCCAAAGCAAAACAGCAACCTGTTTAGAGCGCTTCCGGTGCAGGGGGGTTGGAAGGGTGGGGGGACGGGACATTTTCCACACGGAGAATTCTGCAAAACCGGTCTGAATTTGTGCCCTGTCCTGCAGTAAGTGCAACGGGCTGAGACCGGGTGTCACTGCTCCGTATGACGAGCGTTCCTCTCCCGAACCCGCTTGGTAGCCCATGCGAAGGGGACTTGGTGCCGGCACCGATAGGGCCCTTGGCTGGCAAGTTCCCACCCCCGCCTAGAGATCTGCCCCGCTGAGCCAGGGCAGCAGAGCATTCTGGGGGAAGCGTGTCCAGTGCTGTCTGTCCAGTACCTGCTCCGAGGCCCTGCCAGGTACCCAGGAGCGGCGTTGGCCCAGTGCCCCAGGTGCTGCCTGATCTCAGCCCGGCTCCGCGCATGGCGGGCGAGGCTGGGGCGGGGGGAGGGGAAGGCAGGTATGCTGACTCGGCAATGCGGCGGGCAAGGCTGGCATGGCAGCTGGAGCACACAACACTCTCCTGTCTGTGGCCGTCCCTCCCCGGGGGCTGCTTTTTCCTGTCTGCTGGACAGCACAAAGGGGTTACTGTTGGGCTATAAATACATCGGCACATGGACCGGCCTGACTTCCTGCCAAGATCAGCAGCCTCTGCGCCGGCCGGCCCCGCTGCACGGCCCTGGAAAGCCCAGGCCACGTGGCCTGCATTCCCCCAGCCCCCAGGCGACAGGCGCCCTGACGCGGGAACTCCCGGTACTGCAGGGGTCCCCCCACAAAGGCGGGGATCCCCTGTGGCCAAGCTCCAGCCGTGTCGGAGGGGGAACCCCAGAGCAGACAGCCCCCCAGTCCATCAAAGCAGAAGAAAGGGGGAGCCATACTGAGAGCTACATGTGCTGAGGAAAAAGAGAGAAAGGGGAACTAAGAGCCCTGGTGGTCATGAACCCCACGCTCCAGCTAGCGCTGCGGCCCAGCTGGGCACCTCTGGAGGGGGTTCCGTGGGCAGGGCTCTTTCACCAAGGTAGGCAGGCTGGTCCAAGGGCATGCCAGGCACACAGCGGGTGGCGTCTCTCCGTTCTCCCCTTCTCCGCTTGAACTCAGTTGCACCTGTGCCATGCGAGAGCCTCATCCTCTACAGCCCCTGCAGCCGCCTCGTAGGCCACTCCTTCACTACCTTGCTCTGTGCCTCAGTTTCCCTGGCAGCTCATCTACCCAGGGAATTTCACCAGCATCGTTACACAGCTGTAAGCCCCCACATAGATAGTCCTACTGCAGGGATAACAGAGCCTTCTCCCGGGTCAGCATCTGTCGTATCGAAAGCCAGAACAAGGCCCTGTAACTCCAGCACATGTGTTCCCAAGGCAGAAACTGAGCAGCGTAACTTTGCCAGTAAAATTCCCCATGGAGACCAGCCCGTAGACGGTGAGCTCTGGGGGGCAGTGTGTGGGCAGTGCCCAGACGGATGGGGCCCTGAGCTCAACTGGGGGCTTCCATGCCCTCTATCCAATACACCTTGGTCTTCACCCGGGCTTCCCAGTCACCCTCTGCCCCAGCTGGGTCTGGATTTTCCACACCGTCTTCTCTGCCTAGGGGAAATGTCTTGGGAAGATGCTACACAAAGTAGACTTGTAGTACGGGAGTGGGGTGTCCTGGTGGGTACTGTGTGATGTGTGTATTGTGTATGGATGTGCCCTGTTGTGTACTGTGTCTACTCGTCTGTGTGACGTGTAGCATTCTGTGTGGGGGGGTGTCCTGTTG